GGATTGTACAGTGAGCGTCAAAAATAATCCAATAACAATTTTTGTTAAATCTCAATTTGAGATGCATTTTGAGAATAAGCCTTTTTCTCAATTCCAGAGTGTCCAGATTGGGCGATTTAGCGCCAATTTGGCGATTTTCTTTTTTTGATATTTGCGCGTAAAAATTTAGGAAACCGCCTTTAGTGATTTTTTCCCTCAATTCAATTTTTTGTGCGCTGTAATGTAAATGCGCCGAAACACGTGATAAGTAAGTTATGGAGTTAGAGCTTTAATTTTGATTTGGCACCACTTTTTATTGTTATCGGTTTTGTTGTAGCATTAGGAACACTTGCCAATATTAAACCACAATTTGTGACAACTCCCGCTGAATGTGAAATTTGCAATTTCGTTTGTGAAAAATTGTTTGTTTTAAAAGATTTAAAAGATTTTTCAAGCCGATTTTATGACTTTTATAAAAAAAAAATTTTTGCGAATTTTGACGATTTTTTTTTCAGAAATGGCCCTTTTCTTTTTGGACAATCTGGACACCCTGCTCAAAGATCTAATTAAAAAACATTAAATTCTCAACATTTTCTCAGACGTGAACGAAGTGGAATCAAGTTACTCTAATTGAAATATTGACCCGGATGGAGAAAGTCTGGGTGCTCCCCTGACCTCGTGTGGTCTTCTTCTGCACAGCTGGGTATTTAGCTCAGCTCAGCGGGCGCAAGGCAAAGGCCTTGGAATGCAAGGTTGCTAAAGCCTTCAGACCACATGTAGACCGCAAGCGGTCCAGGGAACTCTTGGGACTTAGAGAGTTACACCTCTCGCCATTGGTGTGAATTCTAACTGGTCATTGCGTGATATATAGGTAAACATACGGCAAGGCGGAGTATCATCGCTGGCCCTTACTACACCAACTGCTTGGTGGATGAGGAGTGGAATCATCTCGACCATCTGCTGCTCTGTGGCCCTACCTTTGCTAGCCTAAAATTCAAGCACCTGGGGTGGCAGTTTTTCCACACTCCTGATGAGCTTTTGCGCATTGGCAAACCTGAGAGTGTATGAAAAAAAACTGCTTGTAAAAAACCATCCACCGTTCGAAACTGGCATGCAATTGTAAGTCTGTCTTTTTGTGTGGCAAAATCAAGACGCACACCACAATTTGTAGCGTATTGAAGTTAAATATGTATACGCTTTTCAGAAATGTTCCACAAATGCTTATGTCTGCATGCATCGCTGACCGTTGCCAGAGCAATATTAAATGCATTTTAATTTTTTTTAAGAATTTGTGGTTTGCAAAAAAATGTGCTGAAACAAGGACAACTCACATGCTCGCGTTGCTAATAAATTTAAGTCGAAAACCACAGAATCGGCTTTCAATTGAGGAGTTAACCACAAATGAGAATTTGTAAAATAAGTGCACGTTAGGGTGTGCCAGAACATAGGGTGAAATTGCTGTAGAATGACAATGGCCCATGCCTTCATAAAGTTCCAATTTTGATCAAGAAGTTGCCCTGAGTTTAACACAAATTCCAAAAAAAATATGCCATGTTCAAACATATTAAATCTATGTAGTTACTTTCGGGTTTTTCAAAGGATGTTGTAGGATAAATAATTCAAATTACTACATTCTACTAATACCTAGAATCTCTGTTGGTAGATAGTGCGTGCGGCCTCAATGTAACGCAAAATGCAAAACTTAAAAACTTTAAACAATACGTCATAAGTCAAAATATTTAGACTTCTACGTAGAGTAGTGAAGGCTATCATCGCCTTGCCTGCGGACAGAGCCTTTTAGAGAATTCGTTATAATAAGGCTTTTGCTAACGGGACTTTAACCGTCAATATATTCGGAAGGTTTTCAGGGGACTCGGCAACAATTTGCTTGCATTGACTTTTTCGTTTTATCAAGGTTCGTTGTAGCAGGAAGATAACCTAACTGTACGGTTCGTTGTAATGTTGTTAAAATAATTTTGCCAGGATCATTTATTAAAGGTTAAGCAAAGTTCCAGAAGCTGGGTGTAAGCGAAACTTCTTTCTAGCGATTTCAGGAGTTGTGAAAAACGAGTGAAGTGAAGCAATGCTGACTGCTGAGGGCCGTTTTCTAGACTGCCTGTTAAAGATAACCGGTGATTTGACTACCTGTCAAATTTGTCGTTCACATGCTTCTAACAGGCAATCGATAAAAAGTCGATAAAGCAGACCGGCCGTCAACTTTTAGCAGGCAGTCGAAAAAACGGCCCTTAGAGACACTCAATACAGTTTAAAAATATCAACTCTTTAACTAAAACTTTAAGGCAAAATTGTAAAATGCTTTAAATTCTGTATACCACATCCCATTTTATTTACTCATTCATTTCTTAAATTCAATTAATTCATTTTTACTTTACGTTAATTTTTTATTCCAAAATCAGTCGCCATTTCAAAAACAAAACGAAACAATTGCTGATGTCTAAGGACCTAAGATTTTGTTCCTTTTTGTGTTTCCTTATTGCTTCTTCGAACGTTGGTTTGGCATTTTACGGTCTTTCTTTGTTGGTCATTATGAATGGCAAATGGAAAGCATGAATAATCAGCAACCCAACCGCGAGTAGGTGTTCATACAAACTCCATAGCAAAAATTTCCATATTCGAACAACTCTTCCCACAAGCAAATATTAAGCATTCGTTCTTCTATGTAAGCCTGCTTCAAGCTTATGCTTTTATACATACATACATAGATACACACATACATACATGGGTATCGATTTGTATATTTTCAAACATATCCTCATCAACTTGGTCAACGCTTCACAACAGGTCCGGTGAAGACCTACAAGTTAGAAATTCCACGAAAATAGTCACTGCGTCCATGTGACCACAAAAGCTAAGGCAAAGCGATAAGTACTCAAGCGTAGAGGTACTCAAAACTTAGCCACAATAATGCTCGTAATAACAATGCGGAAAATTGCCAAGAGTAGTCACTTTACGTAGAATTAACTTTAGCGATGGACGTAGGCGTAATCGGAGAAGCAAATGTCCTATGTAGCTACGTAGGTACATTACCGGCAAAAAGTATTTGCCCAGATAACTTTTTACAGCATATGCAAAAATCTGTATTTTTATTAAAAAATTGTCTGCCAGTTTTTTATAAAAATATGGCGAATACTACAACAAAAACCATAGAAAATGATTTCTAAACATTGTGCAAAACTCTGGAAAATTAAATAAATTTTCCACTTTTTGATCAGATTTTTTTTGAGTATGCCGTTTTTATAGCCCATTACATTTTAGTATAATAAAGTGCAAGCTTGAAATAGCTAGGGCTGCTCGTTGATTTTTGGCAATTTTTTAACGCAATTTCTTCCATAAAAAAATTTCGGAAATACGTAGGAAAAAATTACCAAAACCTTTAACAAAAAAAATAAATTTGCTTGCATATGATGTGAAAAATTCTCTGGGCAAATACTTTTGACCGGTAGTGTACATCTGTATGTACGTCTGCTTGTAAGTGCGTACTTATGTAATATTGTAATATATTCTGCGTTACCAACAAACTTAATATTACTAGAACGACACAATAGAATATTTAACGAACTTAACTGTTCTGTATAGACAATGCATGGAACAATTGAGATAGCGAATGCGTTAAAAAATTTCACAAAAACTATGAAAAATCGTGAAGTAGTAATTACTTAATGAATAAAATAGTGAGGTGGACCCTTAAAACGCATTGTTAACGAGCTAGGAGTTATAATAGATCTTCTTACGATTTAAGCTCTATTCCCCGCCATAAAATAACAAAAACAAATAAGTTAAGGACGAGCACACCCAAAAGTTAAACATTCTAAAAATAGAATTATTAACAAAAACCAACAACACCAACAACCACATGATCAAGTGTAAATCGTAGCGGAATAGCTGCGCTTGATTGTAGTTGGCTTAACAAATGAAAATAGTGGAAAATAAGCAACAAGAATTCACAAGGCGAACTTAGCTCAGTGCGTAGGCAACTGGCTGAGTCAGTGGTGATCGTCGGTTCGAATCCTACTGAAAGAAGTCTGATGAGGAAATGTGGTGATTTCCGAAATAGCTATCACTTCTACCATTTTCTCAAATTATTGTTGCTTTTCTACAATAAGTTTTTCATTAAAAACGGCCTCGAGCCCAATAAAAATTGTTGAATAGAATTTTATAAGCTTATTAACTGCATGCCCAAAAAATTTCTAAACATTCTGGTTAAAAAGCTCGAAATTTAGATAAAAATTTGTGGAATTTTTCTAAGTTCTGTATAAAGGTTGAAAGTGTCGTTTATACAGTTTTTGTTAAAGCATGAACCAAGTCTATAAAAAAATATCAAAAAAATTCTAGCTTGAAAAACATTGTAAAACATTGAACCGCCAATGTATGTATATTGCAAACTTCATTCTCTCTGGAATTTTTTCTATGAAGTTTCACTTTTTCCGCGCGTAGGGACTGCACGCACTCAAATTTTTTCTTTCAAATTTTTTGTCTGCAAAAGCATATTTTTAGTAATGCATTTTTCGCACAATTCACCACCATATTGCAATAATAAAATTCTCTACACTCTAAAAAATTTTTGTAAATTTCCTAGCTAAAAGGTAGGTTACTGATTTCCTACCTTATTATTCGCGAAATTACATGCTCGATTATTCAACGAATAGTTTGTTTAAATTTCGGTTTTTTTTAGAGTGGAATATAGCTGCTGTGGTGTGCGTAAATTTACTACGAAAGTGTGTACAAGCTACAAAATACACATCTGCTGTTTTATTTCACCCATGGAATTGTGTAAAGCCGCTGATAAAAAGGATTTTTACACAAGAAAATGTGCAAACGAGAAAAATACATATTCATCGTGTAAATTTACCAAAAAATTTAAAAAATAAACAAAAATATACTCGATTTATAGTCGCATTTTTAAACAGATTTTTAGAGTGTACACAATTCTCTTAAAGGCTGCGCTCATACAACAATGTTGCAATTTATTCTTAGTTACTCACATATGTATGTATGTATGTATGTATCTACATATTTCCCGCTGCATTGCTAAGTTAGTTATTTCAGTTTTGTTTTTCCTTTGATTTCACTTCCATTTGTCTGGTCAACAACCGAGATTGTGGTGGCAGTCAGTCGGTCGATTGGTCGGTTGGCCTTTCGGGCATTGCATTCCTCAATGCCCAACTAGTTTTCTTGGTTGTCTCCTTCTATGTGTTGTATGTATGTGTATGTGTTTCACCGATTCCTGCTATCACTTGCCGCCCATAGTATCGCTTTTAATGGTCAATAGCATGCGAGTTATTCATTTAATATTTGATCATTATTGGCTATAAATAATTATAAACTTTAACAAGTTTACCAAATGCTTGGAATCGTTGGAGTGCCAAGTGGCAAGCAGCAAATTCTCGTATGTGGCAAGTATCTACTTACATATTTAATGGGTGGCAAATATTTGTAAAGCGTTGGGAAGGCTTTTTGCAAACAATTTGTAGTATAAATTAGAATTTTTAATAGCAAATGTTGTTTTTTAACTGTCATCAAGAAATAAGGCTATCAATTAATTATTTTTTTGTAGTATGTTATCGCATAACTTTGGACTACATAAACCTATTTTTTTTTTATCGGTAAAGTGGTACCTCAAGGGTGGTCCCATACTAATTTTCTTTAGTTCCGATCATTATGTCATGAAGAATTTAACGGTACTCGAAAATTTTTATTGCACTATTTTTTGCTTAAATATTACTTATTAATATCGAGCCCTAACCGCCAAAATAACGTAAGCGACATTTTTTTCAAAATTTTCTTTTTGATGCAGAAATATTCCTAGAGCATCTAGATGCATTTCTGCATCAAAAATAAAATTTTGAAAAAAATGTCGCTTACGTTATTTTGGTGGTTAGGGCTCGATATAGTAACATATATGTAGATACAGTTATCGTCAAAACTATGAATACCCAAAAGTTTTGCCGATTTTCTTTATTTATATTTTCCATACCGATTTTTTCTAATGTTTATAAAATATACATAGTTAGTTCTACAGCAAAAACCAGCAGATTCCATTTTTTTCACTTTCATATAGAACTCGAAAAAATTCAAGATATACCAAAAAATTGTCATTAAAATTTTAAAAATTTTAACTAAATTTCTTAGAAAACTTTTGACGCATGAACAAAATCTATTATTATATGAAAGAAAATGCGCAACACCCTCGACAAAAAAATTCTCAAAAATCAACGGTAATTTTTATAGACTTGAAACTTGCACCTTATTATACTAAAATTTAATGAAATGGAATTGAAAAGTTGAAAATTTTGGTGACACTTTTTTTTGATATATCTTTAATTTTCCCCAAGCTCTATATGAAATTGAAAAAATTGAGCTGCATACCCAAAATTTTTCTAAGAAATGGAATTGAAAAGTGGAAAATTTTGGTGACAATTTTTTTTGGTATATCTTGAATTTTCCCCAAGCTCTATATGAAATTGACAAAAATGGATTCTGCTGGTTTTTTGCTGTTTTTATAAAAGAATAAGAAAAATTTGGCATGGAAAATATATATCAAAAGAATCGTCGGGTATTCATATTTTTGACGCTGACTGTATATGTACATATGTATAGTACATACAAACCTGCAAACCATTTTTTCAGACTTCTGAATTGCAGAGAAATTTTAAAGAATTCGTAAAGATCTCATCCGATTTTTTGCCGAATTTTCTAAAATTAAATAAACCGTGCACACTTCGATTATTTTATGAAATTTCGGAAGAAAATCGGTAAAGCAATGAAAATAATGCTGCTATGTGAAGAATTTCTTGCAGAATTTTTTCAGAATTTTCTTTAGTTTTCGTACAGAAATTTATTTACGAGTTCGTGTCAACAACCCCTTCATATAATTTTCTTTGAAGATTCGTAAAAAAATAGTTACAGAAATAAGACACTTCTAAAGGTTTTCGTTAAGATGCACATAAAAATGTATTTTTATAAATTGTAAGCATTTTAGTTTTTAGTATTTAAATGTAGATACATATTTACAAGGAAAAAAAATTAACTAAGTATTATATTTCTTTCTTTTATTTACAGATCCGTTAGCTGTTTCATAGTTTTGTAAGTACGACTGTATTGTATAATATTTTAACTAGTTTTTTTTTTCTGCGGCCTCGCGTATCATTTCTTGGGAGTTCTGGGATACAAATTATATCGAAGGGCATAATCAATGCTTGTGCCAAAATTTAACTAAAACAGCCCTTTCAGTATGAATATCAAACCATCCATAGCTTAACTGCTTAATATACATACAACACAATAAATTGGTTAATTTTTATTGGCTTCAAAAGAAATTAAGAAAAAAATTATACTGAAGATGGCACAACGCCGAAACTGACAACGAATGGCGAAAGCTTGAAACTGCGCTGATAATTTTCCTGATTTATGCTTAGAATCCAGCTCTCAAGAAAAATCACAAGAAATATTTTTATTTATTTCTATTGCTTGAAAAAGCACTTTGCTTTTGTAGCAAACTTTCTTGAAGAAATAAATGGGCCGTTTATGTTGAAAGTGGCATAAGTATTGTCATAGAGTAACGAAAAAACCTTCTACTTTTGGTTGATGATCATTTAAGCTAAGCACAAGAGGTGTGAAGTGACTTATGCCACTTTTAAAACAAACGGCTCAACTATACGAGCATTTATTTCTTGATAGCTGCAAACTGATTTGAGAATTTTGATAGAAGAAAATTTCTTTTACATTTCTTGTGTGCCAATGTATATGAATTTTTCGTTTTTCTTGAGAGCCGGAAACCGCTCTTTAGTGAATACAGACTATTAGTTTCGAAATATCGCAAAAGTCTAATTTTATTTGGAGGTCTAATTTTAATTGAAAGTTTTAATTTTATATGGATATTATAAGTTTTTTGGGAAATGAATTTTTTTGAAAACGATGTTTTTTTAGAAATTAAATTCTTTGTTTAAATTATGTTTTTGGAAATCAAATTTTTTTTTGAAATTAATTGTTTTTTGGAAAGTCTAATTTTTGTGGGAAGTTCGATTTCTTTGAAAATTCAATTTTTTTGGGAGTTCAAATTTGGTTGGAAATACTTATTTTTTGGAAATACTAATTTTTTAGAAATGCTAATTTTTTGGAAGGTGTAAACCTTTTGGCATTTTTAATGTTGTGGAAAATTTAACTTGCTATGTATGTATGTATGTATGTAAGTTTACTAAGCTAGATACTTGAAGCTTAAAACTTAGCTCAGTACCTGATGACAATGCAATACGAAAGATTGATTAATCCGCTAGGTGACGAGATATTTGAAAAATTCGTTTTTATAGTGGAATGTATATTACCATGGAAGGAAATTACTACAAACAAGTAAGAAAGTCTAAGTTCGGGCGGAGCCGAACATTAAATACCCGGCGCAATTATTAAATATATGTTTTCCACCTTTCCGAAAACTACCGCTACACGATAAGCCGGGGTGTATAAATTTTAAGTAAATTAGCGTCCTTAAATTTCGAAATATTGAAGTTTCAAGCATTACTGAAATATACCGTTATATGAAAAGCGGTCGTAATTTAGTCCGATTTCAATAATTTTCAGCGCTTTGCTTTTATGTGGCAAGCACAATAACCATACCGAGTTTGGTTCAAATTGCTAGAACGGTTAGCGAGATACATATATGTGATCATAAGTGGGCGGTGCCACGCCCATTTTCCAAAATTGTATCATAAGCGTATTTCTTGGTAAAAAATTGTTGCAACCATCAATTTTGAATAAATTAGCTTTAATATTTACTGATTTATCGAGGATTTCGTATTTTTTTAAATTACCGTTATATGGGATGTGGGCGTGGTTATTGTCCGATTTTAAAAATTTTCGGCCATTTGGTATGTTGTAGCAGGACCAACAACTGTGCCAAGTTTGGAAGAAATTGGTGCAGCGGTTACCAAGATATACGCATGTAACCATAAGTAGGCGTGGCTACGCCCATTTGCCAAAATTTTTAAATATTCTTATTTATCATCTAAACCTCATTGCAAATATCAATTTTGAGTGAATTATCTTCAGTGGTTACTAAAATATCGCACTTTTCGTATTTCTGAAAATTACCGTTATATGGGAGGTAGGCGTGGTTATTGTCCGATTTCGCCCATTTTCAATACCATCCGTCCCATGCCCAAAAGAAGTCCACGTACCAAGTTTCGTTAAGATATCTCAATTTTTACTCGAGTTATCGTGTGCACAGACGGACGGACGGACGGACGGACGGACAGACAGTCACCGCTATATCGATTTCTCTTTTCATTCTAATCATTTATGTATACATTTGTCTATATCTATCTCGATTCGTTTTGCCTGTTACAAACAACCGTTATGTGAACAAAGTTATAATACCCTTGTGCACAAGTGCGCTCGGGTATAAAAATTTAGCCACTAGGCCGGTGGTCTGTATATTTCGAAAACCTGTATCTTTGATTTCAAAGTATATTTTACTACATATTGATTTATAAATATTTTTTTTTAATTAAGGATTTCTTTTGAAATTTTTGGTTTTGAATTTTAATTTGTTTGAAATTTACAGTTTAATTTTTTTGAAATTTAGATTTTTTGTTTTGAAATATTTTGTTTTTCAGTTTACAGATTTTTTTGAAATATTTTTTTTTTATTCATTTTAATTTTTTTGAAATGTAAGTTTTTTGAAATACTTCTTTTTAATTTTGATTTGTTTGAAATTTATGTTTATTTTTTTAATACATATTTTTTAATGTATTTTTTTTAATTTTAAATCCTGATAAAAATATTTTTTTTTTTATAACATCAACAAAAATGTGCAGTTCAAAGTTTTTTCAGAATTCAAATTGTAGACCCAGCAAGAGCAGTTACGGCTACTTGTTCTAGTGACGTGACTGCTAAGTTCGGCACATTCTGCAATCACATTCTTAATAGTGAATAAAATATGCTCCCAGAAGTTTTGTGTACTTGTGATTTTTCAAATCAATTAGTTTGACTGCTTGCTCATATGTGAAAAGATTAGCTTCACCACTTACTCACATGTGAAAGATAGCTCGTACCAAGGCGAATTAAAGCAGCTGTTCTAGCAACACCACCTTATATGAATACGCCTTGGCTCGTAAGAAAAAAACAATAAATGGAACTCCAATCAAAAATTATTACAGGTGTGTAGTAACACCATAAAATTGGCGTTTGTGTTGGAGTTTTGGTCACGCTGGTTTTGCTGGGGAGATAGTCAATTTTGACCTTGTGCACCATTTACATA